AATACGCAGTGCTTTACGACAATATGTTCCACTACAATTAAGCCGACATTTTCTGCTGATGCAGGTCATGTGTTAATGTGCCATGCACTTGAACTTCTTTTCGGACTCTACAATGTAACAGTCCCTACAGGGGCTATTATCATGAAAAACTACCCGAACCGTCTACTTTCGTCATAATTCGTTTATTACATGCAGAACCTTTTGCTTGCGCGTGAATTGCACACAATTTTTTTGTCTGCTCATGAATTTGATTGTTTCGAATAAGTTTCTTTACTGGAAAATCAGCAGCTAGAATTTATATTATCGTTATGCGTTGGGCAACTCTTGCCACTGTTTAGTTTCTAGTCGACTCTAATAAATTTTTAATGAGCTCACTCGACTTTATGTAAAGTTTCTTTCTGGAAAGCATGCCTATCAATGTTAAGAAATAGCAAATATCATATTCATTCCAGAAAAATGACTACATGGGTGCAAAACTTCAATCAACGTTATGATGCCAGGTCGTTTATTTTTTTGACTATATGATCAGTGCAAAGGAGTTGTTCTTTTCTAACTTTGTGATATCATCTCTGACGAGCATCTGGTCTTCTGTTTTTCAGTCAAAGAGTAGCCCTCCGTTCAGATGGAAATGATATGATAAAAAACTTTCGTTATTACTACGGACGGTTGCGTTAAATTCTTCCGTCCGCAAGAGTACTGTAATCACTAATAGAAAATTAAGTAGATAATGTTTACTGCATTGCTCATCCTCCCTAGGGTCCTCCTCGATGGATTGGGTTATTTTAAAAAATCGCTGCTCATACTTTATGCGTGCAAACAGAATAATGCTAGAATCTATAATCTTCTCTTTGTACAAGTAGTGCGGTACGCCGCACAGAGAAATAAGTTCCAAACAACGGTTTCTGGTTCTTGCCTGATCATGCGTCTGCAAGTGTTTGCACACACTGCTGAAGCAGTTGGATGTTTCTTCGTTGAGATACGATCCGATATTGTTAATACTGATTATAAGTGGATGGTTATCAGTGGACCTTCAGCTGCCACGACAGAAGGTTAGCATGGAATGGACTTGATAGGCATGGATAAATTTTTTGCTTCTTTAAAACAGCTTGCATGACTGGCTGTTTAATTTGTGGCGAGTCTTCGCGATTGCAACACCGAAGAAGGAAGAAGCATGGGAGCAAACTAGGACGGTAAAAATACGTCTGTTGATGCGACTTCCAATAACCAGTCAAAGTTTATTCAGTGAACCTTAAGGCGCACGGTAAAGTCAAAAAGTAGACACAAAATGAATAAATACAAAACAATACAACAAGCAGTAAAAAGTGAATCTCTAGAAAGTTGACCAGGGTCTGGACTGGAATAACTGTTCTTTCTTCTTGGGATCGATCAAACATCAGGCAGCGAAAGGAACGGCTGATCGGTAAGCCTCTGTCTGACATTTATTGCTGCATTTGACGACGAGATACTGTAGATCGTGTTGGCAGAATTTGAACTTATCAGAACAGCTTGCACACTAGGTAAACTTGATGCACGTTATTATACTACCTCCAGGTGACTTAACTTTCTCTGGATGACAAGGACCAACAACAAGCGAAGCTATCCAAACCTATGATGTTCTCATCGTCCATGTAATTTCGTCAAGTTGCTTGTAAGAAAATGGCGCAAGTGCTGCTGAAGAACAACTTGGCGAGAAGCGCACTGAGCTCATCAGATTTTAGCAGGCCATCGTGGCAGAAATTGTCTGAAATGAAAGCTGGAAAATGAGGTCTTTCGGCAAATATTCTCTTGGCAGCAGTTTGCGATCCGACCTTCTGCCACGTCTGTTTTTCGGAATGCTTCCACGTTGTGCCATGGAAGAAGCAAGAACGAAGTAAGAGAAATTCGTGGGTTGGTAGGTACAGAAACTAGATGCTAACGACGTTGACGCATATGACAACGTCGATACCGTGGGAGAAAGGTGGCTGAGTTTTACGAGAGGCTTCGCCACAGTCCTCAACCTTCCTTCCTTTCCATCCGGGCCTGGCGCCGGCAACGCCAGAATTAGTGCAGGGCGACAAAACTACTGGGCAAGAATCCAGAAGCAGTGTGAATTCTCTTAATTAGCAGCTGACTCATTGATTAAAATTAAC